TGCTCCACTTTACAGCAGAAATAAACATGTTTACAGCCTGGTACAGAAAATGGTATTGGTGTCTATAGCTAATTTACCCGCTCACAACAACTGTACGGGGGGTGAATTTTTCCATAACCCACCCATTTACATTTTATTAAGACTTAAAGTTATGCCTAATTAAGGGTGTGGCTGCTTTATGTGACAGTGTGAGTGCAGATAATGTCCTCTGTTTCTCAGTCAGAGTCACAACTCGTTTCACTACAGCACATCTCGCCCAAATCACTTCTGGCTGCAAAAAACAAAATTGGTGATGGGCAAATTGTTTTGCTTTCTTGGAGAAAATTTGCTGGGAGAAATCAACTTTGCAGATGTTCTCTAAGGAAAGAAAAACAATCACATGTGTTAAACTCATAGGTCCACACAATGAGTTTTGATTAGAAACACTGAATGTACGTATACATAGCGTTTGTTTGCTCCCAAGAAAAATCCCCAGGGCACCTTTAACTTTGCACAAAGACTGGAAACAGGCGGGAAACAGCTGGCTAGGCTCTGTTCAGATATCATAAAATTCATCTACCACTCACTCATTAACATGTTTTATCTCATGGTTTCATCTGTGTACAACCGAAGTGTACAAACTGCACGCTGTAGTCTCAAGCGTTAATGTGCCACACTGTTTCTTGGTCGGACACAGTGACTTCGTGAAATTGCCGGTGGTTGTGTGGCAATCTCTCAGTGATGACACAGTAAAAAAAGCAAATATGCATATTCCCCAAAATGTCAAACTATACCTTTAAGGCTGTTTGACATTTAAATGATGACTTATGTGTTAATGATGAAAACCCATGCACGCTGCCACACACTGCTTCCCTTTCCAATTAAAGTGGAAACTGTTGATGTACAGGAAATAGAGTGAATGACTGATTCCTTCTTTATGCAAGACAATGTTCCCAGTTTATGCAATTTATTGAAATTGGCACAGGATGTAGACTGAACATGAAGGTGATCAAGAAGTAAAATGTATTCTTTTTGCTGTTATGATAAACGATTTTACTCACACAGTGTTCTTCAGTAAATAATGGCACAGACTGGGCTGTTAGAAACTCTGTTCTCCCAGATACGCCTGAAGTGGCTGCCTGCAGGGCAAGGCCACAACAAAAGAGTGTACAGGCTCCCTGCAGGTTACTCTGAGGAGATGAATGGTGCTCCCCAGGAGTGAAGGGAAAGTCAATAGATGTGTATCTGTCAGACAAAGCTGGCTTACAGAAACAAGGACAGAACACAACGCTCATGTACAACATACTCAATACTACACATCAGATACAACATGTGTAGTGGGACCTGTTATGCTCATATTCTGGGTCATACTTGTGTTTCCGGTTTAAACTAGAACATGTTTAAAAACATTTTATTTCCTCATACCATCGGTGCAGGAACACTTGTATTCATCCTCTGTCTGAGACACTGTATAGCGCCTGTCTCTTTAAGCCCCCTGTCAAAAAAGCTCAGATTGGTCAACATTGCCAGGTCTTCCACACCTCAGCCTCTGCATCTCTGCACTGTGTTTGCAGCTGGAGAAATGATGCTAATGGAGAATAGCAACACTTTATATGATTAAAAAAAAATCACCAATAAAAGCTTCTAAACACAACCAGAAATGTTCAAGCTGAAATATGATCTGAAATCAATGAAGTTCAGCGTAAGTTCAATCAGGAAGACTTCCTCTGTGCTCATCCATTCACAACTCTCTCTATCCCACTCCCACTGATTCCTCCTCTTCTAGTTATTCAGTCAAACTTTGCCACAATCTCTATCAGCCAATCAGGATGCTACTACAAAATTCTAAATCTGCTCTCACCTCTGCCGCTGTCAGCCATCATCTTCACACCCTCCTCCATCCTGTTCACCTCCACCCATCGTGTCCAGAGTCCAGGACAAGCTCAACAAAGACTCATTCCTCTGCTCATCCAGACGATCAGCACTTTTCCATCTTCCTTTCATCTTGTCTTCACCACCTCTACCACCACCAGCGTCTGGACCCCGAGAGGGATCCCTATTCAAATGGATTCATCACCCTCCCTTAAATCATACCATCTCTACGGGCTCTAATCGCCAAATACTTTCCACATTTTTCATTCTTATGTGCACATGTTAATAAATATTCTTTTTACTATAAAATGAGTCTCTCCTGATTGAAGTCAGCTTGAAGTCAAGTTGGTCATACATCATAGGACAGATAAACTGCTTTCTTCTGTTCCTTTCTGTTGTGTGTCTTAGATCATTTGTTAAAGAAGCCACTTCTTATAATAAACTGCAGCCAGAGATCTGTTTACAAATTTGATGTAGAAACTTGTCCAGAAAATATTTAAGACCCTTTGACTGATATCCATCTCCAATGCCCTCTGCCTTTCACCTACATGCAGCTATTGACCAGAAACCATATTTAGGCAGTTTAATATTCATGCCAGCATTGTAGGTTACAAACTAACATCGTCACTGAATGCTTGAACTGGAGAGATCCATCAACACTTGGACAAGATCCCTGGAGAATACTCTCATCTCACCCCCCACTCAATCAATCAACAGCTGTCAAGACACTGAAACCTCTGTAGCTCATAAAATAATAATGCGCTCTGCTATTTTTAGATCTAAATGACATGGTGATTGCTCCAAATGTCCCCTTCTTGAGAAGTTAGGGAATTATGCAGGATGAAATTATCTGACAGAAGTAGGCTACAGTGGCTTTTTGGATGCATCTTTTTCTGACTGAATTGCAAAGGTGAATCAACAGACAGACATCAGCTATGGTTTATCATATGAGCTCAGGCTTGCTTTTATCATTTCAGAGTTGGACAAGTTTCGCCCAAGGAAACAGTCCAGAAAAAACACTATCCAGAGTAACATGGAAGACTGATTTTGGAAAGAGAGGCTGCTGTTGAATCAGTAAATGTACTAAAGATCACAATCAAACTTCAATTCACATTCTTTGGTGGAGGGTGGAGGCAGAAATCTCAGATGTAATGTGTATTTTGAAACCTAGGGGCAAATAAGGCTAAACTATGTGCTTGGCTCAATATGAGAGGCACGGTAATTGAGTGAATATATATCTTTTCATAATTTGAAATTGAATCACATATTGTAGGTATCAATTATGTGCTAGTTTATAATAAAGCCCTGAGAAGCCTCCAGCTAAAGCACACTAAAAGGCTTGGTGTCTCAAATCAGCGAGGGGTAGATTTTGTTAATGAAATGCTGAGGAAAGTGTAAACTTCTATGATGATAGCTGCCGTTTTAAAGCTATATCTCTTTGTTAGCCGTTAGCAAAGAAAATTATTTATTTAAACGTTGGAGCCAACACTGGCACTGAATGAATGACAGGGATCCTGACATAAATCCCTTTACACGCATCATCATCTGATTTTGATGGCTGATTACACCACAGGGTTCTGATTTGATTGCATGTGATTAGCTAATGTAATTATGCATCGACAGAATAGTGTTTGTTACACTGGATTATCCTAAAAGCAAAGTTTATCTCACTAGCTCCTGTTTGGCAGCTACTGATGTTTCATATGAGCAAATGAAATGTAGCATATCAGCTGCATCTCCCTCAGCCTCCTGGCATCATTGCATCATTGGACCTTCTGGCTCTCCCTACCGCGTGCAGCCACCATTTCCTGCCCGCCTGCACCCTGAGGAGATGTGGCACCTCGCTTCAAGGTCACTTTATTTTGTAATCCGTCTCAATATTCACAGCTGCTGGCAGGCATGTCTTTATTGTTGACATAGAAACACAATACATTGTTATGACTGTGGTAAATAATCTAAGACTGAGTGATATCTCAAGAGGCATATATCATAAGGATGTCTGGAAACATATTGTAGTCGTTCTGAATGATGAACTGGTGCATAAAGCTTGTTAGGGCCTTCAGTGATTGTCTCTCTCTCAAATATATTAACCTCAGGGGCTGCTATGTGTAAAAACATGGTCCAGCACAAGGATGCATACAGCCTGATATGTTTACATTAGCGGTGTCAGGTAGCTCATAATATGTAGAGCACCTGATCATACTACAGGGCTGCATAATCCTATGATGGCAAAAGCAAATTCCAGTCTTCAGGGGTTCCTTCAATTAACTATTATTTATCTGCTTTTCATTTCAGGTATAAATATAGTTGGAGGACCACTTATTGTATTTAACAAATCACTCAGACAAGAAAAAAACATAGTAAATTTACTCTGGCTAGTGGCAATTAAAAAAACTGTTGGTGTTCTCTGAAGAAAAACATCGAAATGGAAAGTACTCCACCAGGTGTTGAATATCTGTCACTACACACACTCAGAGCATGAATACTTTACTTTGACACTTCTTTTTTTTTTACTCCTTGCTTGTCAAAATACTTACTGGCTGTAGCACTGATGGCTTTGAGGATTAATATGGTTTGAATATTTTTTTTTTTTTTTTTTTTACACACAGCAGTAGGATTTAGAGTTAAAACTGCATTGCTGTAATATTTCCACTGCAGACATTTTTACTTGTCATAACAGGGACAGCGCAGGTGTTACTAATAGCATTAATGTGTCCCTGTGTGACAGTGTCCCTGTGTGACAGTGAGCCAGCATGCACACTGCCATGATTAATTTCCTATTACACCTGTTCCTTTTCCCACTGTGACATGTCAAGATGTCATCTGCGAGAAAGGCATGTTACCCGTAAATATTAATTAGGTGATAAATATTAAAAGTTCCGTGGCTACGTTCAGTTTAGGGGTTCAGTGATGCATGTTGGCTCACATAACTTCCTGAATACAGAGGCATTGTTAATGTTATTAGTACGACCTGAGCTTTTCCTTAAATGCCAAACATAACCAGATTAAAGTCTGGCCCAGAAGAGACTGGACATCAGCCTCTGCACCTGTAGCTACGTCAGTATAGTAGGTACATAACACAGGTCAGCACCATTCATGTGCTTAAATTTAGCTGTGTTTGCATATTATACAAAGACAATTACAATGGATACTCAATTACTACTTTATTAAAAAATAACATTTAATACGCAATGATACAACACTGTACAGTAGACTGTGTGTGTGCAGGGGGATCAAAGGTGCCCCAGAGAAGACTGTGAGTGAAGGGCTGCTGGTCAGCTGTGAGGACGTGCTGTACTTGTCTCATGCTGCATTCATCACACATGGGGTGGGGGTTCACTGCTGTGCAACCAAGAGCAGCAACTGCGCTCTGACACACTGAGGGTATCACACTTAAGTTCATCTTTTAGCAGGATGTTCAGATACAATATGTTTTGGATCATTGTTGTCATGTTTGTTTTTGCAACAAAGGGACAAATCCCACAAGAAAACTCACAAACCCTGAGTTTCTGACTTTAAGAATAGCCGGTTCAAGTCAGACGTTATATTTCTGGTATGCCCTCGTGTTGTGAATGCAGCATTGGTCCTGAGAGGAGGAAGGTGACTGTGGGGGCTACTGTTCAGGGGTTCAGTCCGAGATGGGCAGAGGAAGTACCTGATTCCATGATAAACCAACCATCACCTCTGAAAATCAACCACAACTGAGGCCACTCCAAAAATACCTCACATGTGAATGACTACTGTGGTGGAGACACAGGTGAACATAAATCTTTGCAGACTCAGACCCCTGAAAAAACCACAGATAGGTTGGACTAATACTGTACGGCCCTATTATAGAGTGAATTTCTGCACCGTGTTAGACAGATGCTGTAGTGCATGTCATTAAAAAAGACACCACAGAATTCCAAAATGTATGATAAATCGAGACTAGTGGTATTTTACAGAATATCACATTATTTCACAAAATAGTGGAGCAGTCTCACAACAGATTGATCCATATTTCCATGGACAACATGAAGCACTGACGATGTGAGATGGCAGTTACTTAGCTCTGCAACAATGTAACAGCACTGAGAGGGAAAATAAAAAATAAATTGGAAGTAAGTGCCGGATCAGACTTCTCCTTGTAAGTCAGTCAAGTCCACAGTTTACAGGTGCTTTTCAGTGGCTTTTTGTTTGCCTAAATGTTGTGTCATTGTTTAATTGCTACATTAAAAAAACTGGCAGTGTTAGACTAAGCCAGAAAACACAGAGGCTTCATTTGTCAGACCGTCAATTCTCTAAGTAATTGTGAAAAATGGAAATCATTTCATGCGCTTACTCTTAATTTCAGGTCTTAAATAATGATTACAAGATGGATGTCAAGTCTGAAGATTTTAAACTCAAGTGTAAACTTACGGATATGAAGTGACTGGCTGATAATAAGCCGTGACCGTGATGAACATTGTTGCATTTCTTAATGCATCTCAGTTTCAAGGCATGTGTGGAAGACTTCATCATGCTAATTATATGACTAAGGAAAGGCTAGATAATTCAGAAAGGCTAGCTAATAAATCAAATTGTGTCTTAGAGATTTAATACTCAGTGACAAGTACAAAATTAAGTAAATGACATACTAAACTGGCTAATACAAATTCTATTGAGGGACTATGGCGTGGAGGAGTGTTAGGTTAGATAAGAAACTTTCTGTAAGAGTTGCAGAATCAATAGTTCTTGGAAAGTAGGAAGAAAAAAAGCCTTGTCTTAATGGCAGCGATTTTAGCTTTTTGTAGGAAAGTTTCCCTCATCAATATGGGTTGTTAAACAACTTGCATCATTGCCCTGAGAAATATGTTCCCTCGCGGCTATGGGTCTGGAGATGCCTTTTGATTTTGTCAGAGCGGCTGAAGCATTTGCCACACACAGGGCAACTGTAAGGCTTCTCCCCAGTATGGATCCTCATGTGTACCTTCAAGTGAGCCATCTGTGTGAAGCCCTTTCCACAAATCTGGCAGCGAAATGGTTTTTCTCCTGTGTGGCTACGCTGGTGCTCCTGGAGTCTACCGGAGGAGCTGCAGCATTTCCCGCATACTCCGCAGCGGTACGGTTTTTCTCGAGTGTGCACTTGTACATGCACGTGCAGGTGACCGATGTGACTAAACGCCTCGCCACAAACCTTGCAGCAAAAGGAAGACATGTGGCCTTGTAGTGGGGATTTTTGATGAGGGCAGTCCACAGCATTGGCTCCTTGGTTGCGCATGTGAGAGGCCTGTCCTCTGTTAGCTCCAGTTCCATTTCCCTTAGCACCAACCATCTGTCCTCCATTCTCCACCCCGATAATGTCAATGTTGTTCTCATTTGAGCAGTTTGGGTTGACCGGTGCGAGCGGCTGGGCGCCGCTGTTTGAGGAAGTAGAGCCTCTGTGGCCTCCTCCACTCTCTACCTTCACATGCCTTGAGGAGCCTCGAGAGGCAGGATCCCGTTCCCTGTTCTCCACACCTTGACTCTGAGGGAGGTTGGATGTGTGGGGGCCATCCTGCGGATATTCATTTCCAACACGCGGAGGAGTGAACATGTTCTCTGGTGTGCTGCAAGAGCCATGACCACGAAGCTGATCATCTCCTCGGTTGGCCTGGAGATCTCTTTTATCCTTAATCTGAATAGGGATGCGCTCCTCATGCCCCATGCTGGGACTCCACTCACGCCGTGGATGCTCACCATCCTCCTCGTCCAACAGCGCCATGGACGGACGATCTAAAAACAAAACAGGATGGAAACATAAACTTCTTTGCTGCAAAAACAATTGTAGCCATGGTGCAGTGTAACGCTCGTTGAACCACGTATGGCACTTGAAGTTCACAGAATTTCACTGTTATGAAGCTATGATGGTTGTGTTTAAATATCAAAATGGACTTGGTCCTCAAATGATTTGTGATTTAACCCAAGGGGAAGAGACTGTAAAGCTATGGCAGAGCCACAAAAGCAGGTGGACATAATAACTGCAGTGATCATTCTATAAAACATCCTTTTACAGACAGCGTTTTCCATCAGAGACACACAGAGCTGAACACACTGCCTTGTTAACTAATCAAAAAATGTTTTAGTAGAAATATCCACAGAGAAATCTGTAGCTGGAGATGCTGGAGAGAATGTGGTGAGCAGACGGCAAGCACAGTCACACATTTTGGTACCGTAAAGTTGAAAGAGGATTCTGGGAAAATTTCATCAGAGATCTGTCCAATATTTTTTGTACTTCATTAAATAAAAGCCATTAATCCTACTACTTGGGACAACACCAGAAGAAACCATGAACGAAGATTCACACTTATTCCAAGTTATAAAAGCAGCAATAATTAAGCTCATTATAAGGAACTAGTTTCAAAATGATAGCTTGAGTAATTCTAATGATTCTAAATGATATAAAGATAATATGATAATAAGTGTACTTGTGTTTTTCTTTTGTACAGGTGTATACAACAGAATGTGCATGTGATATGTGTATGCACATGGATGCACACTCATATTTGTTGGTGTATGCTTGTATGTGTATATGCGTGTGACCTATGTTGGTAAAATGCATCCCCTGACTCAAATTTATTAGTTATCAGTAAATTATATCTTATGGTATTAAAGTTATGTAACCTATTAAACTATTTCCTATGAACATATTTTCATGTAACCACTAACTAGTATACTTTATTTATTTATTTATTTATTTATATGTGCCGTTTCCCCCCTTTTAATTTTTTTTTTTTTTATCTTTCTGTATTTAATTTCCTGCTCTGTCTTCTTTTATGGTTTGTAATTCCAGTATTACTATGTCAAAATGCAAAAAAACAAAACAAACAACAAAACTATATAGAAGAACTATACATTCTAAAAGAGTTGGTCAACATATAGTACAGTACCAGTGTTTCCCCAGGGAAATGTGTTGCCATGTTTCATGAGCAATTTAGATACAAAATTATGTCCAAAGCAATGAAGTCTCTCATGTAATGGCTTTAACTTGACTATAAAGCTGTCAGGGGAAATCCTGATGTAGGCCTATAATAGTCAACAACACTGAATGTGGTACCAACACTAAGTATTTCCTCCCATGATCTTTAAATTCTTGTCAGTCACAGTGGATGTAACTGGGGTAACTAACACTGCTCATACAAAAAACATTTGAAATGTGCGTAAAATATCACTGCAAATAGGTTTAGATAGAAGAGTGCATGGCATATTTTCACTCATTAAAAACTGGTACCTTTGGTTGCACTTTTGCAGGTCTAATCTCTGTGGACAGGGAGTTTTAAAATTAGATTAAACAAATGAAAACACTATGTCACAAGTGACTACTGTGAATTCAAATTTAAAGTGTTGACTTGTGTCTGTCCCTGCTACTTAAATCGCGAATTAGTACACTGACTACGTCGAAATGCACACTGTTATATAGATATAGCTAATGCTAACCCGGGTGTAGGCTAGGCTGCTAACCTAGCTGCTTGGCTAACGAACAAAGGTTGCTAACGCGCTAGCCGCTCCACAACAACAGCAGCTAAAGTCAACTAGCTCGCTAAGGGCTAAAGTTAACTAGTTTGGAAGTGAGGCAACATTATTATGAGACTATTTGTTGTGTTGCTACTTTTCTCCTGTACACGGTCGTTTCTATTTTCCTGTCTAACGCCACCCCACAGAGTCGGCAGTTGGGACATAAAGAGGCGCAACTGCACCGTTAGCTTTCAGCGGAGCTAACCTGGCCATATTTCAATCCCAGCGTCTCGCAGCCTGCGTCTCAGATGGTCGTTCTCCCGCTCCCTGATCGCTATCTCCTCCTGGTACTCCAAAATCGTGTCCTCGACGGATTTGTAGATCTCCTGCGCAGCAAGCATGAGACGCTCAGTCAGAAAGACGTTCAGAAACTGCAGTTTGGTCATTTTCTTGGGTTGCACGGAGCTGCTGCTCTCATCCAAAATGGACCAAAAAAGATGCTCGACCCAATCACGTGACCCGGAGTTATGGCTTCTTCTTCTTCTTCGCCTGCTCCGTCTGCATCGCTTACTCAAGACTTTCTGTGACCCCATGACTAGTTTGTCAAACCTCCTGGAAACATGGCTTCAAATATTAAGAGTTTCTCTAAATATTAGTAACTAAGTAAGCAATAATTAAAGTTTAAAAACATCTTAAAGAAAAACATTTGATACAAAATAACCTACATTTGTCTAACTTGGCAAAAAGTAGTGTGTTAATGCCTTATGTGAGGAAGCTGGTTTCTTGAAGTTTAAATGAGGCAGCACTTGTCAGGCCATGTAATCTGATGGGTTACAGAATTTGGTGTAACACCTGATCTAATCCTAATATGAGAACTCTACCATGACTCCTATATAATATGTTTGTCATATGGCTGCAAATTGGTAACAACAATGGCATTCACCTTTGGTTTCATGGCCATAACCGTACTTTTTTAGAAGAAATCAGTGATGCTCAGCTGGTAAAAATTAAAAAGTCAGCTGTTTTTATTTCCTGACAGCCTCCACAATTAGTTTTCTCATCAAAGTAAAAAAATCCAACACATTTCAATGCAACCACATACATATCACATCCTAGAAATCACATTTTAAAAAAAGTAAACATACATACATATGTATGCATAAGACATCTGTATCTTTATCATCAATGTTAGTACCATTGTCAAAGTCTAAAAGTAGATTTACAAGTTCCCACAAATCTAAAGTAGGCTATAACATGCAGCTTTGGTACGATTTACTTTAGTTAGGGCTGAGGTCAAAATAGTTTATCACTTACAGAATTCAAAATGCATCGACAAGTAAATGAGACACAGGTTGGCAACAGTTTAGTTATGGGCCATATCTTAACAGATGTTTCTCACTTTTGTTGTTCTCATCCCAGTGCGAGCACCCACTGTTTAACAGCTTTGACATGATTGTATAATGCCCAAACAAAGAATTCTGCATCTCTGTGTGAAAATGTGACAATTGAGCAATTATTGAAGTCCCAGATATACAAAACCCAGTGTGGCATCTAGCTTCATGATACACACACACGTGGTCCATACTTATACTATGTGTGTATACAGCATGTGGATTACAGGGCCTACTGTATACTGCAGTATACAAGATGTCAAGACAGATTGTCATCGTCATTGTCCTCAACAAGACAATTACAGTTGCATGTCTGAGTCATCATATGCAATATCAAAATTAACAACAAATAGATCCTTTGAAAACTGTTCATACTATTATGTTGTAATATGCAACAATCAATATGTGACTATAATGATATAAATATAATATAAATATAAGTACTGTGGCAGATACTTAAGACTAAAGGGAACCAAGCATTTGCTGTTTGGGCTCAATGGCTGTGGAACGACCTGCTTGAGGAACTCCAGTGTGCGACATCAGTGTCTTCTTTTTAAAGACTTATTTTTGATCAAAAGGCTGTCCTATGACTCTTTTTAATTTCTCATTATATTTTCAAGGTTTATTGTTATTCTTAATCATGAGTCACTGTATCTTACTCCTGACATTGCACTTAAGTCTTGCACTGCTCTTTTTTGGTTTAAAAGTCACCCATTGCTTTTAAACTTTTCCTTTGTATAGTTATGGTTTTTAATTATCCATTGCTCTTACAAGTTTATTCCTGTGTGTGTGTGTGTGTGTGTGTGTGTGTGTTATATTGTTGTGATTTTACGTGTAAAGCACTTTGTAAAGTTAGTATTGATAAGTGCTATACAATTAAACTTTATTATTATTATTATCATTATTATATTGAGTCGTTTTTTATGTTATGTCTCCTGACTTTTGCAACCTACGTAGTAAAAAAACCAAAACAAAACAAAAAAAGTTACTGATTCTGAAATCTAAATATTGTAATAAATATCTTGAAATAAAGTAGCACTAGCTAAAGCTAAAGATGTTTTCCTTTTTTTGTATTTCACAAATAATAGAATAAAATAAAAGAAAGAAAAACAAATAAAAAACAGAAGTCAGTCTACAGTCTTAAAATTATGTTTCAATTATCAATTTACCATATGATTATTTTCACCAATTAATTCTTCAGAGGAAAATCTGACACAACCTGGAGCCCTTGCACTTGATTAAATGGTACGTTAATTAAAACAGTTAAGTTTTTTTTTTTTTTTGTTGCTGTTGTTAAGAATACTCTATTACCAGATAAATGATAAGCATGTATTATTGCTCCAGCTCGGCAGGTGGCGAAACTGGCGCTGACAAAAGCGGAAATGACGTCATATGAAGCTAGCGCCCTCCTCCTCCACGTGCGGTACAGAGCACTTCCAGTCACATTGGCAGACCAGGAGCTTCACGATGAAACGACCAAGTAAGTAAACTGTGACAGCGGCGTTTATTTAATAAATGAACTTATTAAACATAACTTGTTTTTAGGTATTTATTGTTAGGTTATTCTACCCGGCTACTGAACTAACTGTAACTCAGTCTAACAGACACCTGTGCTAATTCTGCTTTAGCTTCGTCTGTAGCGAACGTTAACTATTCAGCTAACATTTAACTGTTTTATCTTTTGTCTCCAGAGTTAAAGAAAGCCAGTAAGCGGCTCTCGTGCTCCAAACGCTATAAGATACAGAAGAAGGTGAGTGTCTTGACTTTATTACCCAGCACTTTAAAGATAAAAGTTTTTGGTCGATGAGGCCTGTGTGAACGAGATGAGACTGCGACTTTAATGTATAACGTGTTTGAGCTCACTTTAAGGTCCACAATAAGCTGAGTTACATTTTGGTGTGGTGTGTTTAGGTCCGGGAGCACAACAGAAAGCTAAGAAAAGATGCAAAGAAGAAAGGAGTGGGTAAACGAGTGAAGAAAGATCCCGGAGTGCCCAACAGTGCTCCCTTCAAAGAGGAGGTGCTGAGGGAGGCAGAGCAGAGGAGGCTGCAGGTAGGTAACGTTCTCTTCTAATACAGTTCATCACTATAACAACTGCATTGTAAAAATGTAGCGTCACTTTTCAAATTGGCTAAGATGGACATTGTTTTTAAGTGTCTTTGTTCTTGTCTGCTGTGACGTTATACTCAAACATTTTTGTTTTTACAGATTGAGGAGGAAAAAGAGAGAAAGAGACAGGCTAAAAAAGAGGAGCGAGCCCAGAAGAGGCAAAAGGAGAGGGAGGCTGCAAGTAAAGACACAGAACCCAGGGTCAAGAAAGCTCGGCAGGTAAAACACTGAAATAATCCATCAGCTCTGAATTGGTTTTTTTACTCCTCTGTTGACTCACTTTTACTTTTTGTTGGTGGTGTTGTTTCCATAGGATGAGGCTGGAAAGCAGTCAGGGAAACAGTCTGCCCTCGACAAGAACTCAAAACAGTATCTGTGCTCTGAATTAAATAAGGTAAAACTTCACAATCCCACACTGTTTCATTGTAGATATTGAAATGGCTACCACCTGATAATCTTCAACCTGATTTCCCTCTCTACATTCTCAGGTAATCGATGCATCTGATGTAGTAATAGAAGTCCTCGACGCTCGTGATCCACTGGGGTGCAGGTGTCCACAGGTGGAGGAGGCGGTGCTGCAGAGGGAAGGCAACAAGAAACTGCTTTTGGTGTTAAGCAAAATAGGTAAATGGACATGAGACACTGCCATGTTAACAGTCATGTGCACACACTGGTAAGCAGGGTTTGTGGTGTGTTGTGAATTTGAATGAAAAATAATTGCTTTTCTTTGGTTTTCTGTGTCATAGATCTTGTACCAAAGGAAAATGTGCAGAAGTGGATGCAGTGTTTACAACAGGAGTTTCCAGTTGTGGCGTTCAAAGCATCAACACAGATCAAGGACAGAACAATGGTAGTAGCCTTTTACATGTCAGTGATCAAAAACAAATGTTTAGACTGCAGCAGGTAATGCTTTACACATCAGCCACTTTATTAGGTACACCATGCTGGTACCGAGTTGGACCCGTTTTGCCTTCAGAACTGCCCTAATTCTTCATGGCATAGATTCAACAAGGTGTTGGAAACATTGTGACTCACAGTGAACTCGTTATGTTCAGGAAACCAGTTTGAGATGATTTGAGCTTTGTGACACGGTGCGTTATCCTGCTGGAAGTAGCCATCAGAAGATGGGTACACTGTGGTCATAAAGGGATGGACACGGTCAGCAACAATACTCAGGTAGGCTGTGGTGTTTAAACGATTCTCAGTTGGTACTAAAGGGCCCAAAGTGTGCCAAGAAAATCTCCCCCCACACCATTACACCACCACCAGCAGCCTGAACCATTGATACAAGGCAGGATGGATCCAGCTTTCATGTTTACACCAACTTCTGACCCTACCATCTGAATGTTGCAGCAGAGATCCAGACTCATCAGACCAGGCAACGTTTTTCCAATCTTCTCTTGTCCAGTTTTGGTGAACCCATTTCAATTGTGGCACCTGGTGTGGTCTTCTGCTGTTGTAGCCCATCTGCTTCGAGGTTCGACGTGTTATTGGTTCAGAGATGGTCTTCTGCAGACCTTGGTTGTAACCAGTGGTTATTTGAGTTTCTGTTGTCTTTCTATCTTCTTGAACCAGTCTGGCCATTCTCCTCTGACCTCTTGCATCAACAAGTCATTTTCACCCAGAGAACTGCTGCTCACTGGATATTTTCTCTTTTTTTGACCATCCTCTGTAAACCCTAGAGATGGTTGTGTGTGTAAATCCCAGTAGATCAGCAGTTTCTGAAATACTCAGACCAGCCCATCTGGCACCAACAACCATGCCACGTTCAAAATCACTTAACTCACCCGTCTTCACCATTCTGGTGCTCGGTTTGAACTTCAGCAGGTCATCTTGACCGTGTCTATATGCCTAAATGCATTGAGTTGCTGCAATGTGATTGGCTGATTAGCTGTTTGCGTTAAATAATTTTTGAACAGGTGTACCTACTAAAGTGGCTGAGTGTATATGAGCAGTGTTGAACAGATTTTTTGGTCAGGGACCCTCTTTTTAGAATCAAC